GAGAGAGAGAGAGAGAGAGAGAGAGAGAGAGAGAGAGAGAGAGAAGAAGAAGAAGAAGAAGAAGAAGAAGAAGAAGAAGAAGAAGAAGAAGAAGAAGAAGAAGAACTCTTCTAGAATCCACTCTTTATTAGGGTTAGGAATGGCTAGTATCAGCTGGTAACGATAGCCCAGTGGAATTTTGATGCCCAACTTTACTATATCTGTGAATTCCAGATGCTAAGGGCAATGCACATGCCCTAAATATTCTTGCACGAAATGTGTGTGCCACAAAAATGTGAAGAAGCTGAAGAAGGAAGTTTCACAATTACAAAATCTCCTATATAAGCTAGGTTAGCTCTTGCATTGATTCTGGTCTCGGACAGAAGAGACATGAAGATGGAGATGCTTTGCTCAATATGGCAACAAAAGGAATAAATACTTCCCAAGATATTTATTTTTGTTTTGTTTTGTTTTTTCCTTCAGATAGGTTGCATGTATGTTTTTTACCCTTCAGTTCCTCCAGAGGCTCTTGTGGTACTTACTCCATTGTTCTGAGCTCTAAGGAAAAGAAGTAGGAGATTAATATAATTCAACAGATTCTGCCATCACTGAGTGGCAGGAATCTGTTAGGTATTTGACTATCACAAGAGGATAGGAAGCCCATCAGAAAAAAAGTAGGAAGCCAAATATCAGCCTATGGTCTTATCCCCTTTACTTGGGAGTAAATATCATAGCATTCAAAGATGCTTCCTTCAGAATGGACATATATAGACACACATTATACATTAGGCAGCCCTTCTTGGAGAGAATAAACAAACATCATGAAAACCACAAAGGTACCTCAGGTTCCTTGGCTAGTGACTTAGCAAAATATATAAATCCCTGCCCCCGGAAACATAGAGTGTTTTCCAACCGGGTTCCGTTAAATTTGGGGTTTTTTTCTGGGGCTCCTACAAGAAAGTTCTCCTACAAATTCAGAACATTCAGTTAAACATTCTGCTTCCCGCTACAGTAATGTGACACTGAAGATGAACATTAAGAAACTGAACTGTGAGCAAGTAAACTATTAATCCAAATCCTACTTTTTCTACCAATTCACCAGCTGGATGGGTGTAACATACCTGACCAGATTCAAATGGGATTAGTTTAAGCAAGTTATGGGAAATTGGCCTTCATTATAAGTCATAATACCGCTTATTTCTTTGGGCCTGCCATATGATGAGAACACAGCAAAAGTGGTTTGTTAACCCAGGTTTAGAGATTAGTGCGTTCTGTGATCACAGCCACGGTGTGGCCTTAAACAAACCACTTTCTCTGTTTCGGTCCCTTGTGTACATGACAGGTGGAGCAGTTCTGACCTATTTTATACCCACTTTAAAGGAATGAATAAAAGCTAAAATACATGGGGGGGGCATTAGTTGAAACTGTAGCTGTGAGGTGTCGTGGGGGAGATTAAGATGAGGGATATAGGATATGGGAAGAAAGGTTAGTAACACTCTGTATCTCTGGAGAGGGTCAAAAAGGTCAAGATGGCAGCTAAACCCTTGTGGTTCAAGCCTGTAAATAGGAGCCAGTCTTTGATAATGGGGGCAAAACACCCACCCACCCCTTGTAGACACCCCTGTATTAGCCCTGGGACACTTCACTCCTAGAGCACGGTGCTGGATTTGGGAAAAAGATTCCCATCAAGTTAAATTCTGTATACTATGGTCCTGATCCAGATGGGGTCTACAAGTCTGTTTTCCTTTTCTTTTTCTCTGTTGATGAAACAATAGCACCCTGCCTTCGCTCCAAGGAACACATGGCTTAATTTGAGGTTAAGGACTGTGCAGTGTTTTAAGCAATATACATCAGTGTGAGGTACTAATAAATCAATGTAATATTAACTGAATCCTCCAGAAATGACAGGACTCTGGTCAGTCTTATACAAGGGATTTCAAACGGCCTTGCTTTGAATTCTTTAGAATTACAGGACCCAGAACTTCATTTATTGAGAACGTTTTGCAGAAACCCAAACCAAAACCCTTCATTCCAGCCCTTGACTGGTTGGCCCCCTTGCCAAGGGAGCCAACATTGAAAACCACTTCCCGGGGGTGGGGGGGGCTTCAAAACAGACTTTCTCTTGGCTGTTGTCTTTCTCCATTGCAGGACCCAGCTCCTTTGCGGAAGCGGTAACTTACATCCAGGCCCAGTATGAGAGCAAGAACAAGTCGTCCAACAAGGAGATATATACACACATCACCTGTGCCACGGACACCAACAACATCCAGTTTGTCTTTGATGCTGTAACTGATGTCATAATTGCCAATAATTTGCGTGGATGTGGACTATATTAAAACCCCTCCCTCCCTCCCTCTTATAAAAGAATCTCATGTTCATTGCGTTGTTCGATTCGGCCTCCTCACTCTCTATATGTAGTCCTAAGTCCTATAAATACATTTCAGATGTAAGGGTCAGTGAGTGGTGGTTTTCCACACCACTTCAGTGTTCATATGGTGGGAAAAAAGATCTTGGAAATTACTGCCTGAGTACACAGGATTTTTCTTAACCACGTGCATATCAAGGGATAAATAACGAATCAGCACTGGAAATACCCTGAAAGAAATTTCATAAAAATTCCTTTTGCTGATTCCCCAAATCATGCTCAAACTTCCACTGTCTTTTTTTCCATATCCATTCCCCTGTCTTTAAAATCCCTGGTTTCTTTTTTCACAAAAAGGTTAAGACATAAAAATACATTATTAATATTTTTGCTGAATATTTTTAAATTTTTTCCCAAAGTTTCTCCCTCCCCCCACCTCTGTTCCCCCCCCCACCTTCGACCTTCATGTCTTCTAATGTTACTGCTTTTCCATTTCTGAAATACATCTGAAGCACCTGAATGATGTCCTTGAAGAGCAAGAATGCCGTTTATTCGTTTTGCCTTTCAAGCGAACATACAATCCACATATTCAAGGGTTAGGCGATCAATGGCCAAATTGTAGATCTGATAAAGGAGCAACTTTCCCATCCTTAAGTCCCAGGATCAGAGGTGTCTGCAGAATCCAATGCTTTCATCAAAATGACAAAAGCAGGCCTTGCATTACAAGAGTGCTTTCGAAACACACCCTATGGGCACCTCTATCAGGATCCTGGAAGCTGAACTGCACCCATTTGGAGGGTTGGCAAAAGCTGTAAATAAGACCACCTGTGCATTTAAAAGCATTAGCAACCATGAAGAACCGGGCAGGATCTGAATGGGATCAAGAGTATTTAAAAAAAGGGAGGGGGTGAGCAAACTCCTTCCCTGTATTAGTATCTATTTAAAGTCCCCCCCCCCTCCATTTTTTGCACTGAAGGAATAAACATGAATATATTAAATATCTATAATTTCGTCCCACCGGCAAACAGTACTATGAGAAGGGCAGTTTACTTACATCGGTGTGTCCTCTTCTGCTCTTTGTATCGGGCAACATAGTTCAGAGAGAAAGTTTATTTCTTGCTCCTTAATTGGCTGTCTAATCTGAATCCCCCCTGCTTGCTCAGAATCTGCTGCTTCGCTGATATTCCCTTTTGGTAAAAATTTTCTTCATCCTGAGAAAGGTCTGTTTTCTCTCTCGTTTTCACCGTGGCTCAGAATTTTTTCCCCGTTCACTTGTGGGAGGGAGATGACTCGTTGGGCTTGTTTTTGGTGAAACAACTTTCTATCACCCTGAAAGAGTAATGTGGCTTTTTCAGAAAACGTTAAACTGGAAATGTGGGTTTATATCAGGAAGGTTTCCAGTGCAAATCAGCCTAATTCGTATAGGACCATTTGCATCAGGGATGTGGGGTAGAAGATTTTCTGTATTAAGCACTGGAATGTTTTCTGCAGAGTTTTGGTATCACTGGTTTGAAGCCTCCCTTATATTCCCAGTCTGAAAAAAGAGCCCGGGAGGTACTTTCACCTGATATTTATTTCGGAATTCAACGGAAGTGTGAAAAGCCAGAGAGGCCACAGACGGTGGAAGAGATGGAAAGCTAGGGAGGCTGCAGACCACAGAGAGATTATTTAATAGAAGCCCAAGACATTCATGGCCATGCCATCTCAAGACTAGAGTAGCATGCCAACACTATACTCCAACCATGGGAATTTCATCCAAATTCTCTTTCCCTTGGAACAAAGTTTCCAAAAGAATTTCTCTTTCATCAGATTGAATAACTAGTAGGAAAAAAATGCCGGGTGACTGTTCTGTGTGTCCTTAACTCCAATACAGGTAGTCCTTGTTTAGTGACCACAGTTGGGACCGGCAACTCGGTCATTAAGTGAAGCGGTCTCTAAGGGAAAGCACATGATGATACTTATGATTTGACTTCAGCTTTCCTTTGCTTTGCAGACCTACAAAGGTCATAAATGCGAGGACCGACCATAAAGTTACTTTTTCATCACCGTCGTAACTGTGAACTGTCACTAAATGAGGCAGCTGCTAAATGAGGACTACCTGTACACAGACCCACAAGTATGCAGGCACAACTATTACTATTGACATTTTTCAACCCTACAGATGGTTTTCTTCTTTTGGCATCGCTCTATTTGGAAATTGCAAACTCAAGGCAACAAATGCTCAGCCTTGCCATGACTCAGCTTCATCACCTTTTCAAACTATTCCTTAAGCAAAGCAAAGAAGCTGAAGGGAAGTTTTTCTTCTATTTGAATTCCAAAATTAAATACACGTCTGAGATTTTTGCTATGCTTTAAATTTTAGAGGCAACTGAAGCAGCTGCCGTGATGTTTTCTAAACAATTGCTAGTGGGATGGTGCAGTTCCTATATGTGTTGTGGCAGTCTAATCAAGTGGTTTGCAAACTGAGTTCTAGCAATCCTAAGATGCATGCCAAAGGTCCTTTAATTAGAAAGTTGGTAATAATGGAAAGACTTGCTCTGCTCTAACCAATCTTCTCTGGGCACAGAGTGCCATGGAAATGGATGGCAAAGGTCACCATGAAACATCCTAGCTTATATTTACTCATGCAAGGGAGGGAAAAAGGCTCAGCCAGTGTTCTGTTAAATGATTTAGAGTTTTTGACACACACCTAAGTTCCTCTGAGATATTTACCTGGAGCCAATCCATGTCAAATCCACAACCACAGCCTGAAAGCAGGTGTGTTACCCATAATGGTTCAGCTGAACTTTAAACAGGCTTAATCAGCATTTGAGATCCGTCTCTGTTAGGGCTGCGCTGAGATCTGAATTCGAAGGATGCTTGTCAGCAAGGCCCTAAACTAAATGCGTCTTTTTTCTTGCCACCACGCACGGCCAAGAAAGACACAGGGGCTTTAGGGTGTGCTCAGCAGGTGTGGCATCTCTGCTGATGTACTCTGCAAACCATCGTTGGTCCTTTGAATCCATATCTCGGCTCAGCATTTTCTCACCTTTAATTCTTTGCATACACCTTTCCATAGAATGGAGGGGGGGGGGCTCTTTTTATTTAGTTAAAAGATTTATGTAGCCACCCATCTTGTAGTGCACAACTCTGGGCGGCTAACAACAGTGATGAAAACACAAACAATAAAACCAATACAAAAAGAGCGAAAAGAATAAAATAAAAAATTAAATTAAATTAAATTAAAAAACAATTAAAAAACAATTAAGAAAAACTGGCTGCCCAACCCATAACTATACCCATTCATCTCTTCAATCCCTGCACTCCAGCTTTACTGTCCCAGTGCCTGTCTCTTGTTTTTTAACCACATAAATGATTGTTTCTTAGGCAGCTCTTGACTGTTGGAAGCAACAGTTGTGTCCCAAATTAAGGAGTTTTTTAAAAGTTTTTTTAAAGTTAACAGTTGTGTCCCAAATGAAGGAATTTATTTAAAGCATCTACATACTCTCTTGTCAGTGGCAAATGATCTATCTGATTAAACTCCTAGGACAGCCTAGCCTGACCCTGCCAGTTCCGTTGCAATGAAATTCCCATCCTTCCTTGTTGTTGGCAGTTTTGGACACCACCCTTGTGGAAGCATCCAGAGAAGCTGGAATAGGGTCAGAGAAAGACAACAAGATGATCAGGAAGTGAGAAAGTAACCCTTCTGAAGAAAGACTGAAGGAGTTGTGCACGTTTAGCCTTGAGAAAAGACAACTGAATAGGGTGGCCATGATAGCCCTCTTCGGATACCTGAAAGGAGGCCACACAGAAGGAAGTCAAGCTCTGATTCTCTTTTTTCCCAGAACTCAGGATCTGGAGTAATGGATTTCAGCTGCAGAAAGACAGATTCCTAGTAGTACACGTTCCTAGTGGTAAGAACAGTTCACAATGGGGATAAGTTCCCCCTCCTCAGAGGTGTTCAGGTGAAGGCTAGCAGCTATCTTTCAGAGATGTTTTAATTTAGATTCCTGCACTGAGCAGAGATTGCACCTCATGCCTCCTTCCAACTCCAGGATCCCATAGTTGGGAGCTCTGAGAGTTGGAGGCCAATATAGCTGCTAAGTACAAAGCTTAGGAAGTCTGCCTTGACATGTTTCAAATATTGTTCCTAACATCAATCAATTCGTGTGCTAAAGACCCAGACATGTAGGCTGGCTACCTGTGCCATGCTCAGCCCCACTGATTCAAGCACTCTTCCAGACTGTGCTTTGAAACTAGCAACATGCATTTTTAACTTTTTGCTACCAGTATAGTAACAAGTATTGCTCGCTTTTGTCCAATATAGCAGTTTTCCCATAAGGCCTCTACACGGCGTCAAGGACAGTGGGATTATGGGAATATCAAAATAGAGAAGGAGAACCACAGCTTTTTTTTTTCTTTTTTTTTTTTAAGTATGCCCTCGATGGCAAAAATTGGATAACCTTGGTGCAGACAGAGGCCATGAGCTGATATTTTGGCTAGTGCCACCAGAAAATATGACATCATGATGGTGGTGGTGACTGTGAGGATGATGTGGAAGACAAGAGAGAGGGCAACTGATCTCCCTAAAGATACCTCCCACCCTTGACCATTAAGGAAAATGTCAATATAATTAAGAGTGTACAATGTATGGATGCCATACCCTTTCCAAATACAGAGCAAGCCCTATCTTCACACGGAGGATGGCCCCAGTTTTCACGATCTCCTCCTACAACATGCACACAAGCAAACACATCATAACTTCCACATGTGAAGGAAGAGACTTTCTGCTACTTCAGCCACTGCATGTTCATTAGGTGCTGGATAACATGCCTTCACCAGTTACATTTTGGAATTGGGCCATAACAGCGGTGCGTGTTCTTTCGCAGTTGTGTTGTTTAGTCGTTAAGTCGTGTCCGACTCTTCGTGACCCCATGAACCATACTGCGCCAGGCCT